ATGGTTTATATTGCAACTTGTTTACAGCTGTACGTTATGAATAGTGAGTGTACAGCATGGTTTATATTGCAACTTGTTTACAGCTGGACGTTATGAATAGTGAGTGTACAGCATGGTTTATATTGCAACTTGTTTACTGCTGTATGTTATGAATAGTGAGTGTACAGCATGGTTTATATTGCAACTTGTTTACAGCTGTATGTTATGAATAGTGAGTGTACAGCATGGTTTATATTGTAACTTGTTTACAGCTGTTTTATACTTACGTCCACAAGTATGTACAGCCTTTGTTTTGTCAGCAATACCAAACACACATATTTCTTCCCAGACGGACAGGTGGCAGTGCAAGAGTTGTAAACACTTCGCGAGGACTGTTTCATCACTAGCCTTTTTTCTCCCCGCTTTATTTTCACACTGAAAAACAAAGCAAAAATTCTACAGTACAGCAAAACGTTAAATAACTTCAATTTATGAATGATAAGAAAATGGATGTATGTGTCGGGGGGGAGGGGGGATCAATTACTGTATACACAACACAACAGATTTTAATTTACACTCTGACAAGAAAACATATTATACTGTTTTATATTTTTCTACAAATGAAAATATCAAAGTTCTGAATTTTAAAAACAGTTCATAAGTGGTTCTGTAAATATCATTTAACACTGTCAATGGCTTTTAAGTTCCCATATCATGCCTAGAAACTTATGCTATTTAGAAGAAAAAAAATTAACCTTATGTCTTTACATTATTTAGTCTGTTTTCAAGACTTATTTTACGTAAATCTAGTTTTAAGTCATCAATTCAAATGTCAACATAAGAAAAAATCAAGCTTTCAATAGTGATTTTTCTAGATTAGAGATAATAAATATGATGCAATACGATATAACTTCAAAAATGTTTAACTTCCTGTGTGATAATTTATTGATTTCTTTTGTATGTAAAAAAAAAACTTTTAGAACTCGATCTTAAAGTAATAATGAAATGTTGATAAAGCTTATATGATTACTAATCAACTCTGTAAATATATGTATTACTCCTATACTGTGATTTCTCTGATATTGGGCAAAGTATGCAGCAAGTTATCTAATGTCTTATTCCACAAAAAAATAAAAACTTATGATAACAGGATAACGTGAATCACCATAGTGATTCATAATAGGGTTCGCCCAGGAATTTCACAAAAATTCTAATAGAACATAAGGGCACAACACTCAAGACTTTCTGTCTCAATGGCTGAGGCTGTTAAAATATTGATAATAGCAAAAAAAGTTGATTTTCCCATTGTCAGACAAAATTCATCCATTTGTTCTTCATATTATTATTATTAATCATGTTATTCTTGTTTCACAAGCCTACATAAAAAACGGCTAAGAATATTTTATTACAACCTAGGCAAACCTACTAAAAAAACACCTGCGCAGGTCATAGAACTATTTTTATGTTGATTCTTAAAAGAGAAAGAGAGATGTTATCAGTTTTTTTTTCATAACTATTGGCCAAGTTTCTCTTGGAAGCCATTAAACAGCAAAAACGGCTAGGTATACTGTGCCAAAATCTATGCACAGCTACAAAACAAACTCCTGCAAAGGTTGTAGGGCTGTTTTTAAGTTAATTCTTGAAAGTCGAGATTTCCACCCTCTAAAATTTTCCAAGTTCTTTTTCGCTACCAACATAAGCTATTTGAAGCCATTTAAGCACCGTTATACTTGTCGGAAATCACCCATTTTATACTAGTGGAAAAGACTTCCTTTTATTAGAGTAAACAATGTGTATATTTACAACAGTGACTTCACCCTTATTACTATTGATTATACTTTTACAAGCGCTTCAGAAAAACGGCTACGAATATATTACTGAAACCTGAACAATTGTAATAAATGCAGTATTGAATAGGATATTTTTAAAATTAATTCAAGCACTTTAGTTTTTTCACACTGAAGATTTTTTCTCTAAGTCTTTCACTTTCCGCCATTTAAAAAATCCGGTGTTTTACTAATGCGCATTAATTGGAAAAGAATTTGTGCAACTTATAGCACATTAATTGGAAACTGCCACGTTGAGGATTCATCAGTTCTTGTATTCGCTGTTGTACTTTGTCTCTACATGGTTTTCTGCGATTATTTCAGTGAGTTTTCTAACAGTATACGATTACCATAGTAGATTTCTCTACTCTTGTGAGTGATGATTTATTCTACTGATTTTCGCCCTTCTCTGAAATTGTGAGTGCGTATTTTAGTATTAGTATTCATATTTTTGTTTCACAAGCCTGCAATAAAATAGCCTAGATAGATATACTACATGAAACGCTGCGAACGTCCATGACCTATTTAAAAAATTGACTGTTTTTCACTGAAAGTTGATTTACGTGGCTATGAATATATAATATATGCGATGTTGTTGTGTGTTTACACGAAACTTCAGGCATAAAACCACCTGGCTCAGTAAATAATGGTTGGGTGGAAAAAAAGTCAATGCAGCAGTAAACTTTTCAAAAACGTGTAACATTTAACTGAATGTATATACACGTACGTAGCTTGAAATTTATTCTCCATAAATGGACATAAAAAAAGATAATTAAAAATTATTAATTTAAAAAGGGGAATGGGGATCATCAAAAAAAGTACAGAAATAAGCTGAATCAAAATGCAAATATTGTATTTTCAAGCCTAGTACTAAAGACTCCAAATTGGAAATAGTGTCCATGTTATTTTCTCAAGCTACAAATCCCTCCGTGTCTACAGTAATTATCAATTTTAGTGGCGTAAAAATAGGGATTTGTAGCTTGAGAAAATAATGTAAACACCATTTTCAGCCTAGTTTTTTTACTTTTTTAGAGCCCCAAGTTATAGGCTTGAAAATATAACATTTGCATTTTGATTCAGCTTACTTCTGTACTTTTTGACGATCCTTATTCCCATTTTTAAATTAAAAATTAATTAATGTAAAGAATGAGAAAAATCTCTAGATAGTTAGTCCTTGATACTTCTTGTGTATGCTTAATGTAAAATAATAACAGAGTTTAGGCATGCTACATTACATAAAATAAAACTTGATAGCTTATATCATATAAAATTTTATACTTCATTGGCACAGAAAAACATTCTCAAAGACTCCCTATGGTCACTAATACATACCTTATCAAATATATATGTTCAAAGCTATGTCACTTCTACGTTCTCTGTTTTATAGATATACATTGTCAGTGTCAAAGTACATTCCTTGCAAAATATTGTAGATATGTTTTCTTAGTATCAAAGGTATGACTAAGTCATGTCATATAGATATGTAGTTTTGGTATCAATGTATGATTATGTTCTCTCACTTATGCAAACTTTATCAAATAGATACAAGTTGTCATTATCAAGATATGATTCAGTCATGTCGCCTGTACATACTGTCATGTAGATATGTAGTGTCAGTATTAAAGATGTTATCAAGGCTTGTTACATAGATACTTTGTCATAGATATATGTACTGTCATTATTAAAGTTGTGATTAAATTGTGTCACATACATACTCTGTCATAGAAATATATGTACTGTCAGTATTAAAGTTGTAATTAAATTGTATCACATACATACTCTGTCATAGAGATATGTACTGTCAGTATTAAAGTTGTGATTAAATTGTGTCACATACATACTCTGTCATAGAAATATATGTACTGTCAGTATTAAAGTTGTGATTAAATTATGTCACATACATACTCTGTCATAGAGATATGTACTGTCATTATTAAAGTTGTAATTAAATTGTGTCACATACATACTCTGTCATAGAATATATGTACTGTCAGTATTAAAGTTGTATTAATTGTGTCACATACATACTCTGTCATAGAGA